CTATGCTGAGAGCATACAGACATGCATCCTGCCTCTGTGAGAGCAGAGAAGCAACTCCTCTCGACACAAAGAGAACCGAGAGAACAGTGAAAAACAGGAAACCAGTGTACATCACATCCAGTCTCCCATTCCCGTGGGAACCCAACAGTAACTCTGACTGTGGAATGTAAACAATTGTCTTGTGACAAGCATTTTGCTGCTCAGTGAGGGAAATAGAAACCAACACGGGCTGCATTTGGCCTATAGGCCTGAGGTTCCTCACCTCTCTTCTACACTGACTGGCAGTAGCTGCCTGGAAATGCTGGGGATTGAATCTGCATGCAAGGCAGATGGTCTGCCACTAACTACTACTATATGCCTCTGAAGCTGTCTCTCTTGAGGGAAAAGGCATGCATGGCTTCATGTGACAAAAACCATGCATGCTTGCATCTTTTTGCAACATCCCAGGGAGCTTCTAGCCTATGATAGGGACAGACAGCTGCAACAGAGATGTCCTTCCTCTTTGTTTCCGCTTGATTCACCTGCCCTACTTTCTGAACTATAAGAACTGAAGAAAGCCCACTATCATTTCTCTACTGCATGAAATTTGATTAGCAGCATCTTTCCACTCAAATACAGATTTAGAGCCAGTATTCACACCTGGACCTCAGTATACGTCCCACACCCTATATTTGGGGAAGGAATGTAGTTCAGTGGCAGAGAACCTACTTTCCATGTAGAAGGTCAAAGATCTCCAGGTAGGGCTGTGAATGTCTCCTGTTTGAAATTCTGGAGAGCCACTGCCAGTTAGTGTAGTATTACTGCACTCAATGGATGTGTGTGTGTGTGTGTGTGTGTGTGTGAGAGAGAGAGAGAGAGAGAGAGAGAGAGAGTCAGAGTCAGAATATGACAGGTTCCCACATTCTTATGAAATGCTCTTAAAGTAGCTTAATGGAAGAGCACTTACTTTGATGCAGAAGTTCCCAGGTTCAATCTCTAGAATCTCCAGTTAGGACTGTGGGGGACCTCTGCCTGAAACCCTCAAGAGCCATTGCCAGTCAGTGTAGATAGTGGACACACACTGATATAGCAAAAGTCAGCTTCTGATGTTCATAAATCAGGCCCATCATGCCTCCTTCCTTTTTTACTGAACACCACTGCTCCATTAGTTTTTTCCTTTGGATTAGGGTAGCTGCCTTAGGCTCTTATGAAAATGAGCATAGAGATATCCATGAGTACTGTTTTGAGGCTTTTGGGTTCTCTTAATATTGCTGTTTTCTATTTGATGCTGCCTCCTTGCCAACCTCCTCTCCTTGCATCACCTAACAGCTGACATTTTTTGAAGGGTCTAGTCTCTCCTTCTGCCCAGCTGCATGTCTGTGGATTGCAAGTTAGCCCTCATTATGTCCCACCAACTACAGCACAGCCAAGAAGGGCAGGCTGAATAATTGAGGCCTCTTACACTGTGGGTTAAACCACTGAGCCTAGGGCTTGCCGATCCGAAGGTCGGTGGTTTGAATCCCCACGATGGGGTGAGCTCCCGTTGTTTGGTCCCAGCTCCTGCCAACCTAGCAGTTCGAAAGCACGTCAAAGTGCAAGTAGATAAATAGGTACCGCTCCAGTGGGAAGGTAAACGGCGTTTCCGTGCACTGCTCTGGTTCGCCAGAAGCGGCTTAGTCATGCTGGCCACATGACCCGGAAGCTGTCAGAAGAATAACCAAGTGTACAGGAACATACCAGGGGCCAGGAAGACCCTTTTGCTTAAGCTATGCTTACCTGGAAGAAGAAGTCCTCTTCTACTTTTTCATGTCTATGAGAATCCAGTTGCCAGCCTGTGGGGTGGAGTTAATTCAGGGCACTGAAGGTCCAGTATTTCACCACACAGAGGAGCTTACAATTGCGTGGCAAGACCATTCCCCCATGTGAAATGAAGACACTGGACACATTATTTAAGGTTAATGGGCATAAACAGGCCACAACTTTATTGATTACAGAAATGAAAGGTATTGGCCCTAGGCATTGGCTCCTAACGACTACCCGGCATGCAGACCGGGAAGGGTTAACCACAAACCGTGGGAGTCCTGTTGAAGTACGCCAACTAGGATCCCACGGGTGTCACCGCTCGGGGGCGTGCCGGGGGCCCTCACCTCCCTAGGTTTCGGACAAGGCAACGCCCCCCGGAGTCCTCTATCGGACTACCCTTTCCTTGGGGGAAGGTGATGGCGCTTCCTTCCCCCCCACTCATTTGCATAACAATAAGCCCCTGCCAATGCCTAACCGCCACTCGAGCAAAGCTCGCCGCCAATACCTTCAAACCTGCAACCAACTCCTAATCCCTGCTATGATGTCCCCCAACCAAATATCGTTTCCAGCATCTGACAGATGCACGTCATCCCATCTGTAGAGGGCCTCGTTGCTGTACTGGATGCCTGGGTGTCCTATGACGCACCCGCCCAGAGCCGCCACTCTACGTTCCACAGCCCGCTCCAAGACCTTTCTTGCCTTATTGATTCCAACCGGGCTCACACAATCCCTCCATGTCCTCCTCTCAAGCAACGAGGACCACAAGATAGTAATGTTAGGGTAAACCGCCTTCAGATCAGCAAAATCGTCAAAGATGTTCCATCTCAGGTCAATAGCTTTGCGGTACGCTAGGTCGTTTTCACCCAGCTGGATAACCAGTGCATCAGGTGGACCCTCAGAGGCGGCTCTCGCCATCACAGCTGGCTTGAATTCACTCCAGCGCATGCCCCTTCGCACTATCCACACCAGCTCCACGTTTGCAGGCAAGCTCAGGTTCCGCCCCAACCCGGTACCCATGGCACGATTCTTGGCCCAGTGCATGATGCTGTGGCCCACCAACCAAATGCGTACCCGCTTGTTTCCTGAAAAGTAAGTAGACAGAAAAACCAAGGTCAGGAGAAGAGTTGCTAGTCAAAGGTTCTTTCTCACATAGGATTTGTATGCGTTAGACTTCCACCGCCCTAAGTCCTTTATCCTCTCTGCTGAGAGTCCGAGGTGCACTGCAGTGGTCGCTGCCCCGATCCGGAAAGAGTGAGCTGCGAATTCCGCCGCAGGGAGTCCGCAGGCTGCCAACGCCAAGCGCATCACCCGGGTAAACTGATGCCTGGCCAAAAGCGATCCATTCGCGTGAATAAACAAGGGACCGGGGCCGTTGGGTCTTAAGTAGAGGAAACGCCTCGTATCCCTAACCGGACAGGGACCACTAGCTTGTACGGCTGGTAACCGCAGGAGGGCCCCCCTACCCTGTTGGTCCGTCTTAGAGCTCCGTACTTGAATTATAAGGTCAGACTCTGATAGGGTCAGGTCACTTAAGAGGATGCCCCTCTGGCAGTGAGCGACCCCTCCCTCGCAAACGACCTCGCCTATACGCAGGGCACCAAAGAAGGCTATGGAATAGGCAGCCGAGAATAGGCGAGCCTCATACTTTGACCAACATATTTCTCGTAATTTTTTGTGTATCTGGATGAGAATATCATACGTTATGGGTCTTCTCTTGTCAGAGCTGGGGGGCTGTTGTCGGCGCCAGCCCTCCAAAGTCTTACGCACAATAAATTGCGCGCATGGGTCGGTGGCGCTCACAGCTCACACAGTGCAATTAACTTCTGAGCACATACAAAGTATTTCAACCAACTTTGTTCTGGAAACCCAAGCATTGACACATTTGCCTGTTTTTTTACAAAGGACAACGGTTTAGTCAATATGTCAGCAACATTTTGAGCACTCTGAACATATTCCCATGCAATGACATTTCTCTGCACATTACACAAAACATTTTGGTATTTTACTGGCACATGGTCAGATCACTTCCTGGTGCAACTGGACTTCTCCGCAACCCTTCCCCTCTGCAGGGAGGTGGGACCAATTTGGATGGTCCGCCCCTGCCACTTAATGGATCCAAATGGTTTCCAGAGAGGGGTAGGGGTTGCTTTATCCCATGTTGATGGCCTTTCAGCTGATTCCCTGGTGGCCCGCTGGAATGCGGAGTTAACCAGGGCTATCGACTGTCTGGCTACGAAGCACCCTCTCCGACTGCATGGAGCCCGGACAGCCCCGTGGTTTTCTTTGGAGCTGAGGGCGATGAAACAATCGTTGAGACAGCTAGAGCGTCGGTGGCAGAAAACTCACTCCGAATCTGACCGGACACAGGTTAGAGCTCAACGTCGAGCCTACGAGGGAACCAGGCAGAGGACTAGACAGAACTCTAGCACTCTTCCGCCCCAGCCCTGCTCCCACGGTGGAGTCTACCTCCTTCTGAATCTGAGCGACTTTATCTGCAAAAAACTTTGCAAAATCATTGCAGGAGATCATGTGGCCCGTACTGGGCCCCAATGTAGCAGGTGGTTCCGCTAAATTGCGAACTACCTGAAAAAGTCTCCTGCTGCTGTTTTCTGCAGATGCAATGGAGGCGGTGAAGAAGGCCCTCTTCGCCGTCGCCATTGCCACTTGGTAGGCTCGACATTGAGCTCTAGCCCATGTCCGGCCTGATTCAGAATGAGTTTTCCGCCACCGGCGCTCTAGCCGTCTCAACGATTGTTTTATCGCCCTCAGCTCCAAAGAAAACCACGGGGCTGTCCGGGCTCCATGCAGTCGGAGGGGGCAGGTTGATTTTTCATTTTGAACCCTTTTACAGGAGTTCATAGGAACAGCTCATGACTAGTGGGTCCTGGAATTTTACATTGCAATGATTGTCAAGAGACGGACTGTAAGCAAGCAACAACTACTGAACACAACTTTCTGCCTGAAGAAAATATATTGTTGATCTGAGAAGGACAAAACAGGCTAGAAAGGATTGGAATTATTTTTGAACAGAAACATGTTGCACAGCTGTTTCCATCATTGTATCTTCATGTACTTGTGGACAATTGACTGAGAATTGTAAGTAAGCAACGAACTTTATCTTATTTTTCTTCGCTCACCACTCCTCTGCCTCCCGCAATACTCTCTAAGGTGCATTAAGACAATTCCAATTATTGCGGATATTTCTCCTAATCTCCACTATGGGCCATGGCAAGCGGCCAAGGGACCTGGATGAGGCAATGCCTCCCCCGAGGCCCAAACAGTCTAAGATTGATTCTTTCTTTCTTAACTGTAGCAGAAATAACAAGGAAGATAGCTACACGGTTGAAACTCACAATCGTTTTAATCCTTTAATTGACCTCGTACCCGAGATAGAAGTGGAGGGGGTGAACTCGAAGGCAACGAATAATGCTAATGATAATGACAAAGAAGTGAGAGTCACCTCGAAGGGGGAGTCCGAGCTGGCCCTGGGCGATGGTTTGGGATTCGAGCATTTCCAATTAATAACCAGGACCCTGCGCTGCATCTTTAAGAGCATAAATGGGATCTCCATGCAGGTGAATAATCTCCACCAAAAGCTTGAGGCCCATTTGCTGGAGCTGCAGCACAACCTCACTCTGCCTCCGAGGGATTTAAAGAGACAGTGGTGTACCTCCCCTGTTAGACATGAAAGTGGTACTGGTGTTCATCTCCTAAAATCTCAACTGGACTTTCAATCTCTGATCTTACAACCAAACAAAATATGTCTAACTATACGCAGCAGTGACCCCAGGTCCCCAAGGTGGATTAACCCGAGAGAGGTCAAAAGATCATCTAAGGCAACTCCTTCAGATTAGGCCTCCGCTAATAGATCTCAGTACAGTGAAACTTTTATACTACCACCATCGGTTCCAAAAGTACTGCTCTCCTTCCAGTCACCAAAAATTCCCTCCATACTGGTTAGGCGCAAAGCGTTATTGGCCACCTGGGGCATCTTCCCAACGAGAGTCTTTAATGACACCAGGACTAAACCTCTTTTCCGTAGCATCGTACAAAAAGGTATCCGCTCGCCAGACAGGCGCGACATAGTCTTGAAACTCAAGCTGTCCACCCAGGAACCTCACCCTCCCTCTCAGCCCAAGCTTCCTGGTTTATCTACTCCAGCAACAGAGAAGCATGACCAAAGCGGACCCAGTCATCTGGCTTCCTCAGAGGAGAGGGACCTTATTTCATCCTATGGCGAGTTGCCATTAGTAGAACAGCAGGAAGTTATAAACAGGCTTGATACACTCAAGCAGCAACTTACACATGTACTTCAAGAAAATCTCCTCAAAACCTGGTCATAGCAACCTATTAAATCAAAGGAACGCAGTCATGAAGGGGCTAACACCCCAGAAACCCCTGCCAATCACTGGGACTCCAATAACGGATGATATGGCAGTCTGCCTGGCGGAAGCTCCTCATACACCGTCGCAACGCAGACCCTCTTCACCTCTACTAATAGATTTGCAATCAACTACCTCGTCCCTCGCCTTAAAGAGCAATATGCCAAACACCATTCATCCAGGTAATCTGTCAATGTCCTATTCTTCCATGCCTGACCTGGAGTCCTCATTCAGTGCGGTCCAGGCAGATGACTGTATATCCTCGTCCTTTGTCAGTCAACCTCGTTTGGTAGAACCTCTTGTATCCGTAACCTCTTCAAGCCAATATATAAACGTTAAGGAAGCCACTGTGCAAAGAGACAGCTCAGGCTTTATTGAAGACCCTGCTGGCCACATCAATCAAATTACCACCCCTTCGATACCTTCGGCTGTATCACGCCTGGCGCGGTCTCAGACCCTTGGCAATGCTTCTTCCACCAGCAACCAGAGTATCTGACTAGCACATAGTCCCTCCCCAAACTGCTTCAATGTGCTATCCTGGAACGTGGCGGGATGGACGTCCAAACAGGATGGCGGGGATATGATAGAGTTTTTAGCGAAATTCCAGATTATGGGTATACAAGAGACCTGGTGCTTAGAATCGTCACCCCCTTCCCTACTGGGCTATGATGCTTTTGTGATTCCTGCGACCAAAACACATTTGTATGGGCGCCCTAGTGGAGGCCTGGTAACATTTGTTTCGCAGGAGCTTCATCTTAATATCTCTCCTCTCCTTTGGTTAGAGAGTAATTGTATTCAAACTTTGCACATCACTAACAGCCCGGTTGGGGACTTCATATGTGTTAACTTGTACAATCCATCTACCTACTCCTCTTCCCATACAAATCGGTTTTGGGAGGATCTAAGATTTATCCTTGATAAATCTGTGGCTGAATTCCCAAAGTTAGAGATCCTCATAATGGGGGACTTTAATGCCAGAATCGGAGCAGATATAAGCTCATTCACCGATAAGTCGCAACTATTCATAGAAGAGGAGTGGTTTCCTACGTGGAATTCACATGACAAGACCATTAATAGGGCTGGCATCATACTGCTGGAGTTCACCATTAACTGCGGGCTGCACAGCTTGCATGGTACACCCAAAGACTGGTCCGGGGGATGCTATACTTTTCTAGGATCTAGAGGGGCAAGCGTTATAGATTATATCTGGTCCTCTTCGGCACTTAATGATAAGGCATATTGTTTCAATGTGTTCAACAGAACCGAAAGTGACCACCTTCCTATTGCCATCTCCTTCCACCACACACAGCTGGGGCTCCCCAGCTCACTCCTCCTCCAGGATTCACTGACCTTAGCCCCGGTCGTAAGAAGTGGGATATCTATCTGGAGCAAGACATAAAAGTCCTCCTAAATTCCCCTGAGATCCTAGCCCTGAAAGCTCAGCTGGTAACAATGAATGTGAATCATTTCTCAAGTTTCCAACAAATTCTAGCCTACTTGCTCCCAACACTTACGAAACCCTCCCGTGCGAGTCTAACCTGGAAGAATCAAACTTGGTTCGACCAAGAATGCAAACAGTGCAGAAGTAGGCTTAGATTTCTTCAGTCTGATATGAAATCAGACAGCACCCAGAGCAAAATCAGGGAGTTAGCCCAATTCCGTTCTTACTACAAGAAGTTGCTCCAACATAAGAAATTGATCTTTGCGAAAGAACGCTGGACGGCATTGTCAGTGGCCATTAAAACCCGTGACGACAAGAAATTCTGGAATTTAATTAATGCAGGTTTAAGACCCCCCTCATTCATCGTTAATAACATCACAGCAGCCAGTTGGCACTCTCACTTTGCTCAGCTGTATTCCGCCCCAGATTCCGACGTAAACGCAGTTTCCACTCTTCCTGCATCTCCCTTGCCCACCTGGGAGCCAGTCTCCCCAGAGAGATGTGTACAACTAATTAGCATGTTATCAGGGGATAAATCCCGGGGAGGATATGATTCCACCCGAGGTATTCTTATTGAACCAGATGTGGTGGGCCCCTATTTTTGCATCTCTCTTTACCACTATTAATGCCACTCTTAAGATCCCGCCAAATTGGAAACAGAGCATAGTCATCCCAATACATAAAAGGGGACCCACAAGATCCGCGTAACTATCGACCCATCAGCCTGCTAGACATATCATACAAGGTTTACTCTAGATTCTTGCTAGAGAAATTAATCGAGTGGGCAGAAGAAACAAAGCTATTCCACTCGGAACAGGCTGGCTTCCGTAAAGGTCACAGTACATCTGGCCAATGTCTTGTTCTATTTACCCTGATTGATAAATACCTAAACAGGTTTAACTGCAAACTACACGCGGCTTTTGTGGACCTGACCTCCGCTTTTGACTCCATTCCCAGAGATAGGCTATGGCAGAAGCTTAGTTACACCAACATAGATAAGAGACTCCTCCTTCTTCTTATGGAAATTCATAATGACATATCGGCCAGAGTAAAATTCGGCCCCCTGGGAGCTCTTTCTGATTCTTTCCCTCTGAATAAAGGGGTCAAACAGGGCTGCCTCTTGGCCCCTTTTCTATTCAATTTCTATATCAACGACATCGTTACAACTATGCAGGCCCTAAATCAATCTGCCCCCTCTCTACAACAGCTCAAGATCCCCATATTACTCTATGCGGACGACATGGTGATACTGTCTTTAACCAAGCAGGGCTTAAACAACATGCTCAGAGGGCTCATGACATATTGTGATACCAATTCCCTCAAAATCAATTTCGCCAAAACCAAAATTCTTACTTTTGGCACGAAAACTCGGAAGTCATTCTGGAACTTTGAGGGCCACTCTATTGAATATTGCTCAGCTTTCAAGTATTTGGGAATCACTTTTCAGCATGGGCTTAGCTGGTCAGCTCACCTAAATATGACCATCCTGGCTGCCCGTAGAACCATCAAAGCCTTGGAGAAATTCTTCTATGCAAAAGGCGGCCAGTTGGTTCCACCAATCAGAAAAGCATTTATTAGCAAAGTCCTCCCGATGTTACTGTATGGGGTTGAAATCTGGGGGTGGAATTTAAAAACACTACAACGGCTGGAGATTCTACAAAACTCTTTTGCACGAAAGATACTGGGTCTCCCCAAGGGCTCGGTTGCTGCTCAGTTAAGAACAGAACTGGGCCTCCCCTCCATTGTTGCGAGAGCCCACATTAGAATTATTAGTTTTTATTGCAAATTAATCAATGCCCCAGGTTCCCTACTAGCCAGGCAAGCCTTTTTAACTTGTTCTCACTCCAACAAATGGTCCAAGGCCATGGAGACTATTACTGTACGCTACTCCCTCCCAGAATTCGACACGTTGTCATCTTGGGACCAACATAAAATCCGGGCCTGGATTCTTATAAGAGATGAGGCCATGGACCGGGCACAGTCCACCTCAGCTCGCCTCTCCATGTGGCTCCCTAAAGTGAAAGTGGTAAGATCACTTGCCAACTACTTGATAGACCTGACGGAGCCCAATTTGAGAAGAGCGTTTACAATGGCCCGTTTTCATTCTATACCCACGGCCTTCCTGCAGGGGACCTACTCTAAGACCCCTATTACTCAGCGTCTATGTCCATGCACAATGAATGAAGTAGAGGACTTCATACATTTCTTTTTCTACTGCCCTATTTATGACCCAATAAGACCTAAGCTCCTCCTCTTGATCCCGTCCTCCATTTCATCTAAGGAAGACTGTCTGAAAGCACTTCTTGTGGACGCAAATCCCCAAATTTCACGTGGGGTGGCAATCTTCACAGTGCAGGCTCTGAAACTCAGGGCTACTCTGACAGGGTAGTGTGCCCTAGTCCTGGACCTGTTTAATTCTTTTATTACCTTTTTAACTCAATGTGCTGAGCCTATTTTGGGGCCATTTTATGCTTTATTTATATCCGCATACTAGTTTTTTTTGGCGCTGGCAACCAAATCTTTGTATTATTGTCTTAGGGTGTTTTAAATGTTATTACGCCAGCAATATCGCTTTGAATTTTGCTTGGTTGCTTGTCCCCAACATTTTTTGTATTGTCTTATTTTGCTATGGCTGTATGCTAATGCAATTAAATTAAATTATTATTATTATCGCCCTCAGCTCCAGGGAAAACCACGGGGCTGTCCGGGCTCCATGCAATCAGAGAGGGCGCTTCGGAGCCAGACAGTCAATAGCCCTGGTTAACTCCGCATTCCAGCGGGCCACCAGGGAATCAGCTGAAAGGCCATCACCTTGGGATAAAACATCCCCTACCACTCTCTGGAAGCCAATTGGATCCATTAAGTGGCGGGGACAGACCATCTGAATTGGTCCCACCTCCCTGCAGAAGGGAAGGGTCGCAGAGAAGTCCAGTTGCACCAGGAAGTGATCTGACCATGGCACTTCTTTTTTTCGCTTTTAGTTAGTGTCAGATCACCAACATCTGTAGAGGTAAACACCAAGTCTAAGGCATGTCCGCGGCTATGAGTTGGGCCAAACTTATTCAGGGACAGCCCCATGGAGGCCATGCTTTCCACGAATTCCTGAGCGGCCCCTTGTAAGGTTGTGTCGGCATGGATGTTAAAATCCCCCAGGACAACCAATCTAGGTGTCTCCAGGAACATATCCACCACGACCTGAAGCAGCTCAGGCAGGGAATCCTTGGTGCAGCGGGGAGGTCGGTACACCAATAGGAATCCTGTACTGCCTCTATTGCTCAACTTCCAGAACATGCACTCAGAAAACTGGGTCTTCCCAATAGGACGCCTGGTGCAGACTAATGACTTCCTAAAAATCACTGCAACCCCCCCTCTCCGCCCACATGACCTGGGTTGCTGTGCGTAAGAGAAACCTGGTGGGCAAGCAGCGGCAAGGACAGGCCCATCTGCTTCATCCAGCCAGGTCTCTGTCACACATGCCAGGTCAAATCTTCCATCCACAATCAGGTCGTGGATGGCTGTG